AAAGGGCAATTTTCACTTTTTTTTGTTTTTTTAATACTAATGAAATATTTACGGTTCTCATTGGTTCAAATAACAATGAAGTGAACACATTGGTTTTATTAAGAACTTTTGATGTATCGAGTAAATAACATTAATAGAAATCTAAATTTCTAATAATTCTTATCTTTTCCCCCAAATTGCATTCAGAATGATTAAAACAATTAAGTGAACAATATTGACACCACATCTATATTATGAACTTTTGATGTATCAAGTGAATAGATTAATACAAATCTAAATTTCTAATAATTTTATCCTTTCTTCCAGATCGCTTCAACAGCGACGATTACCTGAGTTTCGAGCAGCAACTCGACGAGCCGACGTTCCCGTTCCGTTCGCGTTCGAACGCGATGCGCATGATACCCCTCAAGTCAGGAGGACAGTTCGCGGTTATTACGAACGAATGCTGCGAAAAATCATGGCAATTACAATGAAACTGAGATCGTATTGCGCACCACCGACAGATAGACCGTCGAATTACTATCCTTATTCAAACTAAAAACCCGAAAAATCAAGAAACTTGCTCCACAATGTACACGACTTGAAAATACACAAATAAAAAAACAGCAGAAATTAAAAAAGAGGAAGCGTTTTGGACTGAATTCTATTGCGAACGCTGAATCATTGCTGAATAGTGGCGTATTAAAATTATTTTCGTTCAGATTGGACTTATATCGGGTTTATGTGATCATACGAGAAATCTGCTTCATGTTTAAGTTTTCGAAAAGCTTTACAACAAAATTTGGACTAGTGATTGGATATTTTCGTATTAAGTTAAAATAGTGTTATAAATATAACATATGGTGACGCGGTATAATGTATTCAATAATTCAGAAATTCATGTAGCAGAGAAGGCAAAATGTGGTATTTCTTAATATTTTTAATTCTGTTACTTGTATACTATACTTGGATGAATAAGTATTAAAAACTTTGGTATATAATTACTTGATAAGTTAAATTTGCATATAATATTACAAATATTTAATTCATTTAGATTCTATTAAACAAAAAGCTGCCAATTCTAAACATATTAGTGTAGTTTAGATAATATAGTATAATTTTAATATTCGTTAATAAGTTTATTTGAGAAGATAAAAGGCTGTGATAAATGATTGATGATTGTATTTAGTCAATAACTTATTATTGAATGCATATACCATAATTTTTTAAATAACGTTATTTAATTATAATTAAACTATAAAATTCAAGAGCTTGTTTATAAGTTGGCGAAATCGTATAATTTAATGTTTGTGTATGACGATAATGACTTTAATTGCTAGAAAAATATTTCCTAAAGTAATATTCGGAGATAGTTATTGCCACAATATGCTTATGTTGTTTAACGAGTGCATCTGCAGTATGTTAAATTATTTTCAATATTCAAGAAGAGTTACTGCAAAGATTAAAATTTGTGGTAAGATATTAGTTATTTTTCTATGTTATGAAATAATAAAGTAGATACATGTAAAGAAAAAATATTTTTAACAAATTTGTGTTTGTCTTTCCATGTAATTTACCTTATATAAAATAATTTTATGGCGCATATTAAGTCAAATCTGTATACAACTGATTTACAAGTTTTATACATTGTGATAATTCTTGTTAGAAACATATTTACAGATTGTCATTAGAATAATGTTAATTTAATTAGGTTTAAGTCTTAAGTAGGTAATCATAATTTATTTACCAAACTTATTATTAAATTGCATTAGAAAACAAGCTAAAATTAACTTTCAAAAGCCACGAATTTCGCAATGTGAACACATGAATGGATCTCAAAGAAAAAAAAAGATGACTATCAATGTCAATATTATAAACTATAAATTGTATTTATTTTAAATACAGTAATTACATATGATATATGCTTTGTTTCATTTTAGTTCTGATAATATTTGCAAAATTTTCCTATATCATCTGCAATCAGTTTTAAATCCAAAAACTTCCTGCATTATGGCTACACAACTAGCAAATAAACAAGAGAAAGAACTCTTTATATAAAAATTATATTTACACTAAAGTCTCTAAATAATACAATCCATCTTTAACAAATTATAGTCCACCGCCAGATTCTGTAGAAGTTGTGCAAATCTATTTGTGATCAACAGTGAAACATCGATAAAACGCTCTACACAATTGTTCATACAAGTTTCAGTTTTGCTGTCTAATTTATTTCCTGGTTTATCCATGCACTTTTCCCAACAAAAATCATTGAATTCGTGGATCTGAAATAGATCATTATATGAAAATATTTCTGCAAACTGTAATAATACAAGATGATACTTGATGATTTTATCAACTTGTGTAAAGAAAGTTGGTGTGATAAACTGTTGTGTAATTAACTTACGTGAAAAGTGTTTAAATAATGGATGGAAAACAAAAAATGTGTAATTTCTGGTCACCGTATTAATGGTAATGAAATTTCTCTCCAAAAAAACCCAATGCAACGAACAAGTAAAAATATTCACTAAATGTAAACACTTTCTCAAACATTACTTTGTTAACTTAGATTTTTATTCATTTTAATCATTTAGAGGTGAATTAAATGAATTAAATTTGATAAAAAACATTAGAGCTATAAAATAATTGTATAAAATTAAATGTAGATTTATGATTGATTAATAATTTTGCACATTGTAAAATAAATATTGCTATAATAATCTTCTTAAGGACAGAAAAAAAATCTCAGCTTCGGCTATGAAGTAAGTTTTGTGAAAGGAGTTTTAAATGTGCCTGAGTAAGTAATGTGAAATCAATAATAGAAAAACTATTGATACACATCTTGTGAAAACAAAGTTATCGAAGTAAAAACAAGTAAGGACAAGATAATGAATGAACTCGTTTCTGAGATAGATATATTAAGACAGCTAATGAACATAACTGTAATTAAAGCCAAGAAAATTATTCGTAACTGAATCTGTTGCAAATACTGATTGTTATTTAAGTTTCATATATTTGCAGTATTAAATGTATATTATGTAGTAAATTGTGTATTTTCTTGTATTTAGGGTGTGATCAGGTTGTGATCTATAAATGTGTGTAAGCAATAATTTTACTTTTTTGCCCATTAGTTTGTACTTTACACAACTGCAGAATGTATTTCAATTGCATTAGTACCATGGGCATTATAAAATAAAAAAAATAAATAAATGCAATTTAACTACCAAATGCTTAACAAGCAATAAAAGCAGATGTAAGCTACATACTTAGCTACAAATTACTCTGATAAGCATACATTTACAAAACTTCTATGATGGGTTTTGATAAGTTAGTAGCTTGTACCTTCTAAATCACGATAATTAATGCTAAATAATGCAAAGAAGTTCTCAGATACTTTCAAGCAACATAAGTGCATACAACATAAGCAACATACTTCTACAAAATCTGACTAAGACACTTTTACAAAAAATGAAATATATTTCTTTTATAGATCCTATTTTGCTCATCTTTGAATTAAGTAAGATAATAGTAGCAAAATTAGAAGAAAGACACTTATACAAAAATGTATCAATATCTTTTGTATAATTCTTATTTGGCATCTGCTAAATTTGCTGTTGAAATTGCAATTGAAAACTAAGATACTTCTCGAGCAAACGGAAAAAAGCAATATATATGCATCGACAACATAAGCAACATACTTCTTCACAAATCTGGCTATGACAATTTTACAAAAATTTAACTAAATATCTTATTTTGCATCTAATTAGCAAATCTCAAGATAATTGTTACAATTAATGACAGTAAAGTTTTAGGTACACCAAAATCAATTGTAAGAAGCCTACTTCTTTGTGTAAAATACATTTATTAGCGTTAATAAACATGAAAAATAAACCGGCAAAAAACTTTTGGCATTAGATCATGTTTGCATGCTTGTAATTAAAGATTAAATAATAAGCATATAAAATCAAGAGCATATACACAAAAAAAGCTAAATAAAACTAACTGTAAACAAGCTTTATTACAAACTATTACTATTACTATGATGAAAATGATTCCAAAATTGCATAACATCAAAACTAAAAAAATTCTAACCTGTGCATTGAATTGGGCTTTTTGTTTTCTCCATCATCAAGAAATCTTGCAATTCAGATTCGTTCGCCTTTGTACCACTGCCTAAATCGGAACTGTATAAATCAGGACATTGTAAATATTTCTTTGTTACTTTATTTTAATAAATTTTTAACTTAAACAATTTTGCTAAATGATTTTTCGATTCTATTCCTCACACGAGTGTGTGCGTGTGTTTGACAATGTTAAAAGAGGTTAAGAATGGCCAACATAACGGAAGAAAATGTTCCATGACATTTCTAATAAGAACCCCCCTTGGAAAAAACATGGTTGTTTGTAAACAAAATATATAATGATATTATATTTATACCAAACAATATAAAAATTGATAGTTGGTACTAATTAAAGATTTTTAACGACATTATTAAAAGCAATGAATCAATGCAAGAAACTTTTTGAAATGTAAGTTATTTGTTAATATTATACTTCATTGAAATTATGTGTGGGAGGTAGGAGTAATTTACAAAAAAAAAGGGCAAATAACAATTTATTCAATAAAGGTTTAATATCGAGAAATATATTTGTTATTCAACTAATAAGACCCACAAAAGTGATTACAGAATATAGGTCAAATATATATTGTAATTATGAGTTCTCATTTCATTATTTCTACTTGGATACCAATATGAAATGTTAACTCCTCTTCATTTACAAACTTGTTCTATTATCCAATATGAAAAGATAATATATTCTATTACTCTTAACAATTTAATTTCCTTAATTTTTATTACCATTTCTATTTCATTAAATTTTTTTTCTATTTCTAGGTGCTTGGACGTTGTTACCCGTAACATAAACAGTTATGTAGAATATCTAGATTATTTACCAGAATATGTAAAGTTCAGAATATTAGTACGAGTTACAAAGTTGAAATATGGAATTCATGACGATAATGTAATGAAAAGTTTAATACAACCTGGTTTAAGAATGCTCAATTTTTCAAGTTCAACAATAACTGATGAATCCTTGAATATTATTTCACAATGCAAGTTGATGAATAGAATAACATTTAGTAAAGCAAATTATCAGATGACTTCAGAAGGTAACTGCAAAATATAATAAAGAAATAAATATAAAAATGGTAATTTATACTAAGTTATAAAATGTATTTTCAGGATTCATATCTTGCTTCTCAAATTTACAATACTTACAGGCTCTATATATTTCTGATTGTGAGGTTTTTGTCGATTCAGTATTGGATTGTTTAAAGGATTACTGCTGCCAATTAGCTGAATTGGATATAGGAGGCTGTAATGTAACTGACGAAGGAATGAAAAGTTTATCTTTAATGAGAGAATTGTCTTCATTGAACATTTCACGAACTAAAGTAATTTCAATAAATATTTTTAGTCAACTTGTATCTATCTTTTTCTTTTACAAATTAAAATTTGCGTAGGTTACTGATACCGGTTTAAAGTATTTAACAAGTGGCCCCATTCGTAAAGCATTATGTGAACTACGAATGTGTTCCTGCCCAATTACAGACGTAGGAGTAAATATAGTTGCAAATACTTGTCCAGCACTAGCTACTCTGATTTGCAATGACTGTGATATCAAAGGTATGGAAACAACTTATTATTTCAAGTAACACTTATATAAACTTTGTCACAATTTTTTCAAATTTTAAAAGATTTGTATAAGGAAGAAAATATATTTGTAAAATTTCATAGTAACAGATTTTTGTTGTTCTTTGATTTCAGATATGTCTTCTTCATTCCGAGTGTGGAAAACACCAATGAAGCAAATATCTTGGACAATTAATTTTGACAAACCACCATTATTCTAATTTGATTGAAATATTTATTTTTATTGTTAGGAGACAATTATGAAGATTTAGTTTTCATAGAATTTATACTTAAGTTATTTAACAAATGGTAGAGGTCCATATTATTTATTATAGAAGTTTTGTTAACATTATTTTTTTATTGGTAGAATTTTTTACATAATTTATACGTATTTATACAAAATATAAGGAATGATTTAAAATAAGAAAATGATGTACTGAAAATAACAATTAAAATAAAAATATATAATTTTATATCTCAGGATAATATAGATATAGATTAGTGTGCTTAACAAACATTATAACTAGACTACTTCATTTAAATATATGATTAAGCTTTCTTAGCAGTTAATGGAGATTGTTTTAATTGTAATATAATAGAACGCATTCTTGAAACATCCTTATTAGTTTTTGTAGATTTAGGATTAAAGTCGCAAAGCTTTGCAATTCTCTCCCACTCTGTGCCAGGCTCAATTTCATCAGTTTCCGCAACAAACTGTTTTTCAGCATTTCTAAATTATCAGTATGTATTAATAACTTATATAAATAATTTATATAGAAAAAACATGCAGCAAATATGAATAATTCAGAATTATTTTAACTATCACACACTAATCCTAATATAATTTAGATATTGTTTCTTTATGCATAAAATAATTATAAATCTAAGCAAAAAAAAAAACAATAGTCATAAAATTATCAACTCATAAGATAACCTACTGCTCCTTAAAAAATAATACTGATATATAAAAGACAAATACAGTATTCTAAACTTGAAAAAAATGTAACCAGATTTAAATATTTTACTACTCTAGATAAACGCATTTTAATTTGGTAGCATAACTATCGAAGTGAACATATAAATATTATTACTATATGAATTTAATAAAATTTAAAAAACAAAATTCATGCTTCTACAAAAATATCTTGTAAACGCTTGATCATACTCAAACAAAAGTGTGTGATGAAAGAAACTTACTTGGCAGATTCTCTGAGCGAGCATAAAAATATATAATAAATTAATTATTTGTCATGAATATTCACGGTATTTAAAAATATTATGCTTACCTGTTTGTAGACTTGGTTTTCTTGATTTGTTCTTCATGATGTTTGTACCACTCTTCTAATTCTAACTTAGCCTGTTCTCGCAACTCACTCTTCTTCTTTTCTTCTTCCAAATCTATTTAGAATGAATTAAAAGTTTAAAATCATTTTTACTTCAGAATTTGCTTAAAATTATAGGTGAATATCACTAAATAAATAAAGAACAATATATAGTACATTTTACATAAATATATTTACCTTTCTCCTCTAGCCGCTGTTTTTGATCCTCACGCCACTTCCTAATTTTCTCTGGCTCTTCCCTAACAACTGGTTTTTGTGGAGCTGGAGAAATACGCCCTAAAACATTATTGAAAAGTATGTAAGTAAGCATTTGTATAAAAATCTCTACTTCTGCATATTTGCAGATTAATATATTCAAAATACCTTCAGGTTTCATATTAAATCCCAGATCATCGGCAGTCCCATCATCTGCAAGTAGGAATTGTTTTCACTTACAAACATGCATGTAGCATAAATAAATAATAAAAGTAATATATAACTATAAAGAGGGAAGCAGAAATGAACTGCGCAATAGGTCTATACTTAAAGCATGAAATGTTTAACAATATAAATAACTATCTACAGGATAAAAATATTTATCAAAGTTTAAAAATAACAATTATTACAAAGTAAAAAAATATACATAAAAAGTAGTGCACAAAAAGTTGTAATCCCTTAATTATAAATAAGAATATAAGTAGTGTTTGTTGATTTTTTCAACAAAACTCACCAGAGCCCAAAGCAGATGTGGGTTCAAAGTTATCATGTTGACCCATATTATTGATCATCTCAAAACTGCCGGATGATTCAGTTTTTGTTTCAGCAGTTGAGAAGAAAGCATCTAACAAATATTAATAAAACAAAAAATTCAAGTGCAGTGGGAATAATATCAATACTTTATAAAGTTAAACAAGTCATTTAATCAAATTTTAAAACTTTTAATATAGTTATTAATAAAGGTTTTTACTTTATTTTTATAAATAAAATAAAGTAATAGAAAAAAATTACATCTCATTAACAATAATGCCTCATGCTATCGACCAAAAACAAAAAAACATTAATGCTTGATCTGACTTTGGTTTGATCATTTATAAACCAAGCAAATGTATAGAAATCTTTGCAGTACTTAACATAAATATAAATACAAATATATTACAAAAAAGTATTGCAAGGAAGTATGCAAGGCCATATAATACTCTACAATATACAATTAATAAGTGCTTTTAGAAGATTGCAACTTACCTTCTCCTGTAGGGGCGGTTATCAAAGCAGCCGCTGGCTTAACTTCATCTTCTAAACCAGCTAATTGATCTTGTTCACGAGCTAAAAACTCAGCTGCAGGATCCACTTCTGGGGGATTGTCGAAATTATCACCAAAAGCGTCCATTGCTATTATTTGTTTAATATTTAAATAATTTGTACAATCGATGAGCTACAATGATGACGGGTAATCTGACAGTGACAGCTCAATCCATAGGTAAGCACAGGCTAAAGAACAAGAGGGAAAAAATGACACATGGCGACACACAACGGAGAGTGGCGGAATTAGTTAATACATTTTTAAATTTATTTATGATTACACACTGACTGATTTTTTTTTATTTGTTATTAGTAATTTTATAAAATTAATTATTTTCTTATAATAAGAAAAAATTAAACAATATTCCATTTCAAATTTTATTTTATTTTTTAAAATCGGTTTGTTTCAGCAATGTTCACCCGACAGTGCAGCCAACCAACAGAAATTTGACATTAATATTTTTCTTTTTAGTTGCAGACTTTGTTGTTTCACACGTGCTTTAAACTGTGACAAAAACATAAATTTAATTAGCAATATTTATAGTAATTAATCATAAAATTATAATATTGCAAAATGCAGCATGATGATGTAAATAATATATATATATATATAATATTTTTATTAATGTAAGGTGTGTATATTTATAGTTTTCAATTTCTAACCTCAATCTTTGTTTTAGGTGGTTTGGAGTATAATAAATAAATCTTTTTGTTCACATAAAGTAAAGTAAGTAGTTATATTAATCAACGTAAACTTATATTGTAAATTATTACTTAATACTTAAAACCATTATAATTTCAGTACAAAAACACAAAGGTTCTGTCGACATGAATATAATTTAACAGGTCTTTGCAATAGATCTTCGTGTCCTTTAGCAAACAGTCAGTATGCTACTGTAAGAGAAGAAAATGGTGTAATACATTTATATATGAAAACTGCAGAAAGGTATTATTTTTCTATTATACCAAACTTTATTATTCATTTTATGAACGACTTAACATACATTTTTCTATTACAGGGTTGCCTTTCCAAATAAATCATGGGAGAAAGTTAAGTTATCTAGAAATTTTGAAAAGGCTATTCACCAAATTAATGAAAACTTACTGTATTGGCCAGGTTTTATTAAATCAAAATGCAAACAGAGGTTTGTTAAAATAACACAATACTTAATTCGAATGAGAAAATTGAAACTACGAAGACAGTAAGTAATCTGTGGTGAATATAATATGCTCATTCTTGCATGTATTTAATAGTATTATTTTAGAAAATTGATTGTACCACTTCAACGTAAAATTGAACCACTTCAACGTAAAATTGAACGACGAGAGAGAAGACGTGAAGAAAAAGCTTTGGTGGCTGCTAAAATTGATAATGCTATTGAAAAACAATTGTTGGATAGACTTAAAAAGGGAACAGTGAGTGCACTTTTATTTATTGCAAACTCCTAATAAGTCTTATTACTGTAATCTTATAAATGCAATCAATCGATCATTTCTTTCTTTCAGTACGAAGATATATATAATTTCCCTCAATTAGTATTTGACAAAGCGCTCACTGCTGAAGAAATATCAGGAGATGAAACCGAGGAAGAAGAGGAACCTGAAGTAGAAAAAGAGATTGAAGTAGATCAAGATGTTCGAAAAGAACTTGAAATGGATGATGATGAAGAGTTTGTAGAAGCAAACACTGATGATGAAAGTGATGATGATGAAGTGCAAGATATGAGTGAAGATGAGGTAAATATATTAACCACATTATTACTATTATCGTTTAAACAATTCAGTTTATGATCATGATTTCTAATGAATTTGCTGCATTCAACTGCATTAGTAAAGATTTTTTTATCCAATTATTATAAAATGATACCCAACAATGGTCATACATATAAAGATATTCTAAAATTAATTTTTTATTTACAGGAAAGTGATTCAGGGAATAGAGAGTCTGTAGAATTAGATAGTAGTTTTGAATCTGAAACGTCTGATATAGAGGTTTGTGAGATAACTATATAATAATTCATCATATATCAATATTCCATTTAACTAACATGTATATATTTTCAGGATGCTAAATTGCCAGGCCCATTCAAACCGAAGAAAATTGATAATAGTTCTAAGTTACGTAAGGTGAAATCGAGCAAAGTATTACGTAAACCTAGAGTTGAAATTGAATATGAAATGGAATATGAAAATGATAAACGAAATAGGGCTGTTGAATAAATTAATATTGTACATTATTGATTTTGTTTTATTTGTTGAGTTTATATTCTTTTCCTATAGAATTCGTACCTTATCCAAATTGATATTTGTGTGCGGTATGATAATGTAATATGTACATGACTACGTTTTAATTATCTAACATTGAATAATCAGATGATTTCAATGAAAATTTAATAATTTTATGTAATTATGCTTTAATTAAGTAGTCATTACAGCTTTACATTTTTTTTATGAACATATAAAAGTGATTAAAAACTATCTCAGAGTATAGCATCTTATATAAATAAACGCGGCGCTCTGAAAATATTTTGATATCCAATTTTGTTTGTATTTTTTTGAATCAAAATAAATCAAATGGCGCAAAAATCATTTAGTATGTCTGCATAAATTTAATAGCGTATTTCTTCGTGAAATTTTATATTTTATAATAATATATTTTTGAGCAATTGAGATGGAAGAATTTTGGTTTCAATTATAATGATAATTGTTTCTATTTTTTGTTATTTTAAATAAGATACGATCGTTAATTAACAATCGATGTTTACAACGGTTAACTACGGTCGTGTTCGAATATAAATATCAACATCTCTTCGGGCGACTCATTAATGATCTTTAAATGTATATTTTTATCAAAAATTTTATCAATACCGCATGCATTTTTATCTTTACATCTTTGTCTAAAATTAACACCAAATTATTTATTATTTAACACATGCGTTTCACATAGATGTGTTACTAGTACACATTTGTCTGTTGTGTTGTAATATTGACATAGTTTTACTTTTATTTAATAGATACAAATACAATTATAATTGGATTGTAAAAGCACGAATTGATTGGAAGGTTCGGTAATTATATTTGGGCAAGTACTTACATTTTAATATAATTTGCCAACATTTTCAACAGTTTAATATTTTGTTTACTACCATCATCACATTTGGCTGATTTAATTTTATTATATTTTTAATGATTTTCAGAATACTGGTATGCATTTCTCTAAGTACTCATTTAAATATTTTGCAAACACACCAATTAAAATAAGTGAAAATATGGCTCAAATGTTTTTATGCATATTTATTCAAATTCATTCATTCAGTTAAGCTTTTGCTTAGAATGTTTTCTATTTGCGTTTTTTAAATTGATTGTATTTGTCTTAAATACACTAATTCAAATATTTTGCAAATAAATTACTTAAAGTAAGTAACGAATAATCATTTAATCAAACGTGACCATCAAATCCATCCACCAAATTATGACCGTGTAATCGTGTTTTTTAATTTAAATCTTTTAATGTCTTGCTAAAAATAATGATTTTATCATTAATTTGATCAATTTTCTGATGGAGTAAAGTGACAAAAATTCAGATTTGATAAATTCGATATTATTATTTATTTATTTATTCATAAGCAAGCCATTCATATTCATTTTTTCAGTAACTTGAAATAAGTCGATAGGAAAAGTATCTATATCTTTTTCTAGTGTAAGTTATTATATAGTAATCGCACAAAATCGAAAATAAAAATTTTGCATATCTTTATGTTTACTTTATGTTAGAAATAATCAAAGAAGTTAAAAAATTCAGAATTTTCAAAAATGCTCGAATTTTTATAAAAATTTCAAAATTCTCAAAAAACTGATTTTTTCAAAGTTTTCAAAAAAAAATTCAAGCTTTCAAAAATATTTATATTAATAATTAATTTATATTTATTAATTACTTATTGTTATAGGAAAAAAACAGACAAAGAAAATTGAAGAACCAAACGGTTCTGACCCATTTATTTATAACTGAGGTAGTTATATACGTTGTCAATGGAAAAAATATTTATAAAAAAATATGTTTATGTATATAGGATATATGTATATGATTTATGTATGTAGGACTTTCCGTGGGCCAGTGGTAAGATCTTTGGCCTTGCAACCATGAGATTTCAAACTCGATGCCCATCTCGGACACTCTGATACCAAGCAGTAGAGATAGAGCTTTTCACTTGAAAATAAGATATCAATATGTTTCAAAGTGAAAATGTGCATTTTTATCACTATTGCATAAATTGTAATAATAAAAAAACCATTAAACAGTGATGGGACAACCGTTTGGGTTATCGTAAAGAAGTCATCAAAACAGTTTATAGGACTTAGTTTAAAGGTTTATAGGAAGCTATGATTGTTTTTATTAACACATATAAAAATGCTACGACTATAGTGAAAGTTATTTTATAGAATCTAAGCCGTCATCCAGTACATCATGTGAGTAACAATTTTATTAAATCGTCCAATTAACCTGCCATAAATAATTTCGAAACATGCGGAAATCGCAAGTGTTCTCTCACAATCTCGTACATTATTCTCGATTGAATATTTAGTAATAACTCACACAGAACACTAACAAAATTATTTTGCCAAACAAAACGTTGTATTTGCATTTCAAATAATCTATATATAGGATCTGAGTGTTTATGAGTCTGAATGAACGGATATGATAAGCAGCATTGCCTCGTGATAAAAGTTTTATAATACACCTCTATTGTAATAGACTTTTTCATAAATATTCATAATATTTTATAAATTATGATTACGTTTTACAATTGTTAATGGACGTTTGTTGAACGAAGCCGAAAGCAATATTATGGTTCGATTCGAAGTCAGTTACGATGGTGTTCTGAGTGAGAAAGGTCAGGTTTGAGACAATATCTGACGATGAATAAATGAATAAAAAATAATAACATTCAAAATATTTGGAGGCTAAAAGTGCATAACCGGTTATTTTTTGTGACGCGGCCTCGAATTCGCTTGGTGGGTGCATTTTGAGAAAAAAACGGTCATTTGCAACGGTTTGTGATAGTTTGTTAACATTACCGGAAACAATAGGTGCCATAAATCGCGCGAGATTTGATTAAAATAGTGATGTAATAGTAATAAGAATAAATGGTGTTATATGTTTTTTTAATGTGATTACACCGAGTTGTTATGAGTGAAACAAGTGTTTGAATAAGTAGGTACATTTATATTCAGGATGCCTTCTAACGACCTTTCATCCTCAATGAAATGTCTCTGGCCCTTGGTTTTTCGCGAGAGACTCAACAAGGAGTTTAATCCTAGCAAGACATCAGTTCCATTATATTCAACGCCTCCGAATATTGTTCCATTATTGTACAGGAGATGCGACTCAATGAGGTAATTTTTTTTTCATTTTATGAATAATTTGATTTTTAAAAAATATTGAACTAGTGGTGCAGGGGATCGTGCCTTAAGGTGAATTACTGCAAAATCCCATATTAAAACTAATTTTTTTTCAAAAAAATTTTATTTTCATTTTGATTATGTTTTTGTAATGTTATTTCTTCCACAATTTTATTCATTTTATATAAAAAGTCCACCATTATCTACTTTTCTTGAATATATTGTTTGTTTAAATCTTATCAAGATCATGTTTCTTGATAGATGTCCTAAAGATGGAACGTACCTAGTTCCGAAACGTCGACAGTAAATAAATAAAAAAATGGTTTTTTAAAATACTTTTTTGTTTTTTATTGCTTTTTGGATTCTTTGTTCAAAACTCTACAATATATATATATATATATATATATATATATATATATAAGTTAATAATTATAAAATCGAATAATCATATAATTATAATAATTATAATAACAATTTTAATTTATGTAAGTGAATTAGGTGAAAATGTATGCATAAAATGTAATTTATAATTTAATATAACTCAATATAATTTAAAATAACTCTAATAGAGTCTTGTACACCTAGTTAACTAAAAAAATAAAGATTATTACATATTTTAATTGATTGATTGATTGATTTGAATTGATTTATAATTAGATAGAATAAAAAATTATTTATCTTGCATGGTTAACCTATTTTGGACTTTTTTGATTCAACTCTGATAACTCAAATTTCTTGATTCTATTAATTATACAAACAGATTTAAGCTTCGAAATTTTATGATATTGTTTAGTGAGACAAAGAAAATTTTCAATGTCAATTCAGAGTAATTTTAATAGAACTGTGCTAGTTTTCATTTAGAATTCAAAAATTAATTATAAATATATTTTAAAATAATATGAGTACCTTAGCTATGTATGCATAAATATGTATTAGTGATTACATCAAAATTTGTTTATTAATCGTGTATAATTTTATACCAACTTTTAATCTAATTATAAACAACTGAAGGTGTCTAAATTCTGGGAATATTATGACCCAATAAGTACCTAGAAATTCTTTATGGTTATTTGTCACTCATGGGTAAGGCCAGTATATATGCGCGTTATTTTATAAATATTCAATCGTTAATGCAAATATATATTTATTTAAGTCATAAATGTCACATGAAAAATTTCTTCTCGTCACGATTATGAAATAAGAATTTACAGTATAAACTTTAAGGCACTGATTCTGTATCCTATACAAAATGCAATTTTATTAAATTCACATTTATTATGATCTGTGTATTATGATTATGATAAGTGAATACTACTATCAATATTGAAAATCAGATTTAAAATCACAATTTTATTTGTTATAAAAAATATAATGATATAGGTCGTCTTTGAAATATTTTTATTTTTGATGTGGATCCAAAAATCCTTAAAAAATCGATCACGTGATTAATTGACGCTCCCATAGTCAATTAATCACGTGATCGATTTTTTAAGGATTTTTGGAACCACCTTCCTCTTGGTGATTCCTGGTGAGATTCAAGATCACCCCCCCCTCCTTCCCTCGCCAAACATAACGTGTATTTTTAGTAACGAGAAAATATTTAGGTGAAAACTAAATACACATGAAAAAAAAAACCGGTGAAAACTAAATACACATGATATCTTACTATGCCCCTTCCTCCCCCACGTGATATTTTGTGATTTTATGTCAAACCCCCCTTACCCCAAAAAACCACACGTGATTATTGGACGCCCCCTTGCCAGTTGGTCAAGCAATAGTGATATCAGTTTTCACTTAAAAATATAGATTAAAAATTATAA